ATACAAAAAAACTTTATCATGTCCTGCAAAGGAAAAGTGGAAGATTACAATGGAAGAGAGATTGTGTATATGAAATCAAATCCAGTCTAGGACTTGATTAATCTTTCGACTAGTAAAAGAGCTATTGGGAGCAAATGAGTTCTCAAAATAAAGTAAAGAGCTAATGGGACTATAAAGAGGTATAAGACTCGCTTGGTAGCAAATGGTTATACTCAATGGGAGGTAATATATAATGAAGAAACCATTTCACTAGCAGTGAGATTTACTTCAATTTACTTACTCATAGCCATAGTATCACATTTAGATTTAGAATTACATCAAATGGATGTAAAGACTGTCTTTCTCAATGGAGAATTAGATTAAGAAACCCACGTGTAGCAACCAATATGTTTCATTAAAACGGGCCAAGAGAATAATGTTTGTAGATTGTAAAAATCAATCTATGGCCTAAAGCAGTTTTCTAGACATTGGTACTTGAGATTTGACAAAGCGGTCATCTCGTACAATTTTGTCATGATGGATGAAGATCAGTATATTTATTTGAAAAAGGTCTAATGAGAAATTTGTAATTTTTTCTCTCTATGTAAATGATATCTTACTGGTTGGGAATAATATAAAGAGTATATTAAAATCATTAAGAAATAGTTGTCCTCAAATTTTGAAATGAAGAACATGGGTGAAGCAAATTACATATTAGGTGTTAAAATCAATAGAGATTGTCTGAAAAGGCTTCTTGCTCTGTTACAAGAGCCATATATAAAGAGAATTCTAGATCGTTTAAAAATGGAGAATTGCAAACTAATTGACATTCCTGTATCGAAAAATGAAAGTCTTTGTCTCTGCGTGTGTTCTAAGACTTTAGAGGAAAAAGAAGAAATATTCAAAGTATCATACTCTAGTTTGGTTGGAAGCTTAATGTACGCTATGATGTGTACTCGCCTTGATATTTTTATGTCGTAGGTCTAGTTAACAAGTATCAATCTAATTCCGAAAGAGAGCAAGGAAAGCTGTTAAGAGGATATTGATATACTTGAAGAATGCTAGTAATTATTCCCTATGCTATCAAGTGAATGATTTATACTTAAAAAGGATACACATGTACTGATTGGGTGGAGACCTAGATGATCGCAATTCAACTTCGGGGTATGCATTCTTGATTAATAGTAGTCTATCTCTTGGAGTAGTAAGAAATAATCGTGCATTTCTTTATCCACAATGGAAATAGAATTCGTAGTATTTGCTTCAACGGTATATGAAGCTATTTGGTTTAGGAGATTCTTACAGCATCTAAGAGTCCTTAGTGGTAATGTGGGACCTATATTAATTGTGTAATGACCCAACCTCGCGCTAGAATCGTTATCTTACGTACTGTCCGTTTCGGGAGAGCTTAGGCCCATCTTACCCCTCACGATTTTCTGACGCGTCCCCCAAGATTCGAACCCAAGACCTCCATCATATGGGAGATTTAAGTGGAATCCTGGTACCAATTGGGTAACTTGTCCAATTGGTACCAGGATTTCACTTAAGTCTCCCATATGATGGAGGTCTTGGGTTCGAATCTTGGGGGACGCGTCAGAAAGACGTAAGGGGTAAGATGGGCCTAAGCTCTCCCGAAGCGGACAGTACGTAAGATAACGATTCCGGCTCGAGGTCAGGTCTTTACAGATTGGCTGTGATAGTAAAGCAGCTATTACATATACAAATGATCCGAAGTATCACAATAAAACCAAACAGATTGANTTAGATTACTATTTAATATGCACACATAAAGTATGTTAAACAGATTATGATTGGTTCACTCACACAAACAATCTCTTCACAATTTTGATGTACTGTGGTGAGACACAGTGATCATATTAGTAATTGAAATGGATTTTGCTATCCATTAGACTTGTTTAATAGATAAATCAAGTTCTCGATTGGGATTGTCTTGGTGAATAAATATAAGGAGAACTTATGTTAGATATCAAGGAATATCTGAACTATGTGTACGGCATATTTAATTTGTAAGATAAGACTACGTTCTAAGAAAGGGATAAAATATCTTAACACGTGTTTCATACCATGTGTACTTTAAGAACTAATAAGAAATAAAAGAATTTCTACATGCTTCTTCATTGTATAAGTTTCCGAGGCACATATGGCCTCACTTATATACCTTTATGACTTTTGACTATTTCTCAAAATTTTATTATGACTACTTTAGCATGTTGTCAATAACTATGATTGATTCGGTTTAATGGGACATGTCTAAGAATGAAG